ACCTTGTACTGATACAATGTTAGGAAAATGTTCAGTAAAGCTTCTCAAAATAATTCAAACTGTATGACTAAAAACATTCAATCATATCCAAATAAAACACTGGGTCCACCAAGTTTACCATTGGTATCATCTATGTACTGTTTGTGGATTTCTCCTTCTGAAGATAATTCTACCACCTCACGAATATTTCGATTAGATCCAACTGTAATGTTATTCACCACAGATACCGAAAATATCAGGACAAACAGGCCAGTAATCACAATTAACTTTATACATATTGAAGTCTTAACTTCCAGATCAAATCCTTAATTTTTATTCGTATGTTGCTTGCTAATTGCACTCGCCATGTCATTTATCCATTTTTGTTATACAAAACTCATGAATGACTGTGTAACATCTATACACATGTGCAATACCACACACATTTATTTTCGCACGTACATTGCTACTCGCATACATCTCAACATTGCACATCACCACATACACTAGTATCTGTAATCAAGCTTCGTTATTCGAACGTGCTCCCATCTACGAGCCATTGAACCAAATATACTTTCTCGTCTTCAAGAAATAATTGATCGTGGTTGAATTTCGCCAAACCTAGACTTTTGATTTAAAAATTATTTTCGGCCAGTAGTTATATTAATGCTATCATTATAACATGTATGCATATCATTTAACACTCACAAACCAATCTGGGCTAAATAGAATATTTTACTGTCCTAGACAGCCACCAACTCCAGTACCAAACAGCAAGATATTGTTCTGCCATTCGTGAGTTTATCTCCTCACTTTAGTTGATGTTAAAGAAAAAATAAACATAGGCAAATTCAGCAAAACTATTCCACTTACATGTCCATTAATACAATTTATATTCTGTGCTGAGAAACAACACAACTCACCTTGGTGGCATCTAGTCCTTGCATTATGCAAAGTCTGAAGAGTTTTGAGGACTACTAGCTGCAACAAAAATTGATAAACCGTGTCTTGATGGTTGAAAACTAGTACAGCACACATTCCTGCACTCATAACTATTTGTAAAAGAGCATCTGGCTACGTGTATCAGTACTACATTCCTCAATCTGCACTGGCTGGGCTTCACCTTGTTGCTTACAGTTGCTCTTCCAGGAGCTCCTGAAGCATTAATTGTGGTATCCAGTCATTAATGGAATCTATTACCACATGGCTTAACGTTGGTCACAAAACTTTGATAATATGATGTGCAACCAAGAAAACTGCAGACTTCTCATTTGGTCACAGGTTGAGACCATTTCTATACCACTTCAATTTTTGCAGGGTCAATAGTAGCCCCATCTCTTTCCACAATATATCCCAGAAACTCCATCTGAGTCTCATGAGTGTACTCTTACCTGGTTATCTCCACCTATCACAATGACAGAACAACACCAAGATTTCATTCCTTTTTTGACAGGTCACTATCTGAGGGTATGTTGCTTTTTTTTCTAGACAGAAAACAGTAGATTCTCTGTGTTGGCTCTATCACCGTATTACACAGCATCAACACTCTAGATATCACCTGAAATAAACCACGGAACACATCTTATATACATGATGGTACTGTGACTCCCTCTGCAACATAGCAAACTATGGAACACAACTTCTGTACACTGAAGTGCAGTGAATCCCTCAGTAATGTTGTAAACTATGAAAAATAACCTGTTTACACAGAGATACTGTGATTTTTTCTACAACAAGCATTCATGCAATCCACTTTCCTGGGCCCGGTCTCACTGGCATCAGATGGCTTTCCCACAGAAATGTAGTTACCTAGTGAACAAGCAAATTAGATTGATAAGTTTCACAGTACATCCATCCCTAAAATAACAATGCATGACCCTTTGTTTTGTGGCCGGTTTATTTAGACATAATTAGAGACATGCTTCTTCAGTCACGTTTATTCTATCAATGTTTGCCAGAACAAAGTCAGTGGCAGCTTCAATCTGTGTGCCTGATTCATGGTAAGATCAACCGGAGTACAAATACAGGAATAATAGCACTTTATTCTAAAACAGAACTTGAAGATAGATGAAAACCTAATATAAATATATATGCACACAATTAAAAAGAGTACATCCAGGAAATAGATCTCAAAAAGCAAGGAGATTTTGTAACTTAAAGTGGCTGCACCCAAGGCTTTAGATCAGGCTTGTATTGTAGTAACGTTTAACTACATTCGAAATATATAAATGTCAATGTGAAACCCAGGTGTGAGTATTGTTGTGGCATTTTCGGAGTCCCTGATTTCCATTAGAGTAATTAAGTAGGGACTGCAGGATAACTGGAGTCACTAGAAAATATATTACAGAGCATAAATCAGACTTTGACTGAGTCTAATACAAAGAAAGAGATCGAACATAAGTTGCATAAGAATAAAATAATCTTTATTTAAATCCAACGACAATCAATCTCAAAGAAAAGTCTAAGTGTGGTTCCTTTACTAAAGAGTAATGTGATTCTAAGTTAAGTGAAATTTCCCAACAGTCCAACTTAAAGTTATATCAAAAGTTGTTTAAGCAAAAAGAGTCCAAATGTTTTTCCAGTCTGAGAATACATGATATTATGTACCAGTAACAACAATGTCATTTCGCCTTGAGATCCCTCTGTCATTCTCACTTCTCTTGCACTGAGATTGATCTTCAGAAGCAAGGTTTGATCTTCTGGTCTGAATGCACCAGATACAAACTGAAAATCCTGAGTCTGCAGCTGGAAGCTGACCATTGTCAGCTACTTTTGCAGTATTAGAAAAAGACCTATGTCCAGACCTATGTTCTTGATTAACATCATTCTCATACTACTGTTTCTCTTCAATAAACAAATTCTCCCTCTTGGTGAAAACTACTTCTACGTTAAGAATATACCATTCTTTTAGTCAAAATCATTACTTTAAACTCGAGTGATCAAGTAAGGGCTAATACATACATTAGCAAAAACAGAAAACTGCAATAAATCCTGTGGTCAATGCACCAAATGTCTCCTTCTTGCCTACTCTGTGATATTCTCAGGCAAAACTGATTTCTGCACGAATATTAGATAGAGCCACTTTGTAACAGTAAATTCAGGCAGGATAGTTAAGGAGTGGAACTGAATCTAACCAAATGACCGAGTGTTGAGCTAAAAAAATAAACAGACTGAACATGTGTCAGTTTTTATGTTCGGGCCGAATTCTTTAGAGTAGGTGTTTGTAACTTGTTGGCGATAAATTTCAACAATAAACAAATAGCATGCATATGTGTGCTGTCTTACAATGCTAGAAACCGGGTTTCGATACCCGTGGTGGGCAGAGCAAAGATAGCCCGTTGTGTAGCTTTGTGCTTAACTTCAAACAAACAAACAAACAGCATACATTCCACTTGTTTTAAAATAATATATTAAAACAAATCAAACGTATATACAAATGCTCATTAAACTGTTGGTTATCATAGTTGTATCAAAAGCTTTAAACAATTGTCTCTTTTTCGTCAAAGTCAATACAGGCTGGCATAATTACTTTAGAACACAACTGACAAGACGAATTATTCTTTCCTACTTTGTTATAACAATACAATCTGTGAAACTCACTTTAGAAATCGCCGCTATACGCCCTTTATATATAAACTTACAATCACGCAGCCTAGGTCGAGCTATCTATCTTTCTGTCTCGAACAACACTTTGAACGCGTATTTATAGCCTGACAGAGGCCTCGAACGTTCCAGACATACGATATCTTATGATGCAGTAATACTCAATTAATACAACAAGAAAATTTATAAGGTTCTAGTAACATGAAGCAATAATATAACAATCACCAATTCATAACTAGTGAATTATGTAACATATTATTCACAAACAGTTACGTAAACAAACCTGCGATAAACTATAGCTTCCAAAAATAACTAAATTTAACACTCCCGCTATGTAAACTATCTAAATCATAAGTCTCCCATTAAACTTAAACGGAAACAGTCGTGTATATCTAACAACATTTGATGTAATGTGAAACACCATCTTTATTTATAAAAGCAAAAAAAAAAGAAAACAACAACAAAAACACGCACACACACACACACACACAGAGTGTATACTTCCATAGATACGGAACTGTTGCTTCCTACCAGATCTTTAAATCGATCAGTAATTTGCTTAAGCAAGATATCTTTTTGTTAAATGACCAAGTAGAAAAATATCAATTCAATACTCCTTACTAAACAGGAAACGTCAGGTTTACCCATTATGACCAGCGCTACTCACGTGGAGCCCCATTCTCACACTACACAGCTGAAGCCATTACCACTAGAAATAATATACTCTGCCAGTAAAGAACACTACTGTTATTGACGTTTTTCTCCACAGTGTGGGAGGTTGCAATTATTTTCCTGCGGAAAAGGTAGGTATTATCTATTAGAGAATAACCAAGGTAATTAGAACGAAAGGAACCCTACTGTTTTCTGGATTACATGTTTATACAAAAATTACACAGAAACAGAATATGTTGAAAAAATAGAATATTTTTAGATTAATATAAGAAGGTAGATTACGCATGGTGAGCCTGCTGCCACTTATACATGTACCACACTATCACCAATATTAGGCCCATTAGCTTACAATGATGCGATAGTTTTCTGCATTCAAAACAGTATCAGTAAGGGTCCATTCACAACTGTTATCATATCCACCACTGCTCCATAATTACAAGACACATCCACTCCTTTTGTCGAATATAACAATTTTGAAATATAAGACTTGATGTGGATTGAGAAAGAGTGGCATAAACGTCCTGTTAGTCACACGTATTAAAGAAATGCATTTATATGAAAAAAAAAGTAATTCTGTCGACATTTTTTAAATTACTTTATCGAACAAGTTTGTGCATTTTTATCCATTCATCCACTTTTATTGAAATATTTTCGAAAGTTTTTAATGATAAAATTATAAATGGTCCCTAAATTTACAAAAATTATTCGTTTTTGTTTTTTGCTATCATGTGAAAGCTCTACCTAGGGAAAAATGTCTATACCAGCAAGAAATGGTGCAAGAGTGAAAGAAACGATGACGCCTTGACGGGGAAATCCACATTATGTTTGAGTTTCCGGTGATGGCAGAGATTAATTAAGGTTTACTTACATAACAAGTTCACCAAACAATATAAATTCGCTTTTAATGATATTCAGGTCAGTTATTGTTACTATTACATACCATGTAATTAGCTAGTTGAATAATATTAATAATAATATTACTAGTATTAATACTGTATTAAACTAAAGACTAAAGTAGTGTAAATTAGTAAACTTAGTAGTACTAGTAGTAAAACAGTGTTTTTTGCTTTATCATTATGACATAAGTCACGATCACTGAACACCAGTGAAGCATGCATTAGTGATAGAAATTAGACTAAATTATTATTATTGATATTATAATTTGTAGTATAAACTCAGTATTGTTAAATTATCAGTCTAGACTGTATGGTGTTCTTTTTAAATTTAAGATAAAAATGAAGGAATTAGCGCACACAGTTTTTGTTTTTTCTTCTTACTACTATTAAATACTAGTCTGAGTCTGATTTCAGTATCCTTGGGCTTAGTTTATCAAAGTTGAAACTTAAATTTGCTATAAAAATAACACAAAGTTTTTGTTATTTTTATAGCAACATTAAGCTTGTGACAAAGCACCTAAAACATTTTGAATGTGTTATTAAAATTGTACTGTCTTTATAATCTGACATTGTAAGAATTGTGTTAAAGGCTCTTAAACATTTATCATTGACATTATGATATGCACTATACAAACACTAACAAATAACATAATAAAACTCATGAAACTAACACTAACAGGATTTGCTTCTAGTACATTTTTGCAAATAAATGATATCCTCTTATGGTTTATATTTGTTATGGTGTCAGGGTAAGAGTACTTTTTATAATTTTTATTATTATTTAACTTAGAATTTTGTAATACAAGAATAATATAAATTGTTTTATTTGGTTTTGATGTGTAGTTCTATACATCAAAGGGAATTGTTTACATTCCACCACTATAAAAGACCTACTTTGTTTACTTACTTTCCTCTTCCAGCAGCACCGATGAGCTGTAAATTCAGAGAAGCTAGTCTGCTGCAGCATCAAAATTAATGAATCAAAGAATAGATTAGGTCACTACATCTTCTTTTCTTCACCAAAATTGAATTTTGGTGAGGAAAAGAAATTCACGAGTAAAGAAATATAAGCCATTAAAACATAACAGTGATATATCACAAAAAAAAAGAAAAAAAATCTTGGTTACCCAAAGTCTTTTGGGAGGTAGACTTTATATATTTTGGTTCTTATTTTTGTGATTTATCTATATTTGGAGCCTACATTATTTCTTAGTACGTGAATGAGATTGATCTTTAATTTTGCTAAGGAATATTCAATTATATTCATTGTAATTATATACAAAAATGTTTAAATAATCTCAACCTTAATATTGGGTAAATAGAAACTGTCATCAGATGGGAATCTCTGTAATGTGAGTGCTTACCAATGAACTAATCAAAATTAAGTTTCGTGATTATTTCTATTTTAGATTTTTTCAACTGTCCAAGTCTTGTTGAGAATAATTAGTTTCATTTAATCAATTGATGAACCCAATCATTAATTGATTATCAAATTTCACTAATCACCCAGTTGTAATAAATGTATTTTTGTGTCTGTGTGATGGATTTATCTACCAATCTATCATTTTTATCTTTTCAATTTAGTGTAATAAACATGTGAATGCTAATTTTAAAAGTTTTGTAAAGAAAAATTTATTTCAAATACATAAATTTGACATCATAAACCTTTCATGTTAAGATGACATCTTCTACTTATGAATAACAGAAGTGTTGAATCTAAGTTTATTACTAACATTTGGATCATTACATTTACTTATAGAGTTTATATTCTATGAGTCATCAAATATTGCCCTCATTAACAACTGGGTTTTGTATAGATTAGATCTTCTTGTTGAATTCCATTGCAATGATGTGTCTCACATGTAATATGTATAAATATTGTAAAATTGCATATAGTTTGATGCCGTAACCAACATACAATAAAGGAGGGCATGTTATTTCCAAGGAGACTTGCTGTTAGTTTCAAGGACTTCAGCATATCAAGAAGCAGTGACATGTTTTGATAATAAAGGTAGGAACGTATGGTCAAGTAAACTAGTTTGTAGTTAGCCTCAGTTCCATTGTGTAATTATTTCCTTAATCAAGAAATAATAGTAATTTCCTTAATCAAGTAATCAGATGTGAAGATGTCACAAATATCTGAAATAAAGTTGTATAAATACATTTATAAAATGAAGTGTACTCATCACTTTCATGAATAGCAAAATACAAGACATGTCCATTTAATTAATTATTTAAAAGGGGACAAGTGTTTCATACAAGGCTACAGGTACATAGTGTAACCCCTTGTCACATGAGAAAGAAAATGAAATCAGAGAAAGACAGTGGCTAGAATGAAGAATTATTTTCACACTCCTCAAATGTTAATAATAATATAGAGACTGTATGGGTTTGAGTTGTTAAATAGGAGAGGGAAAAAGAAGCTCATTGATCAGGAAACAGATTGATAGGAATATATCTTGTAGATTAATTATTCTGTTAATAAAAAGATACATAAACCTAATATTAATATTGTTGGAGGAGGTTTTCTAGCTCAGCATGTTAAAAAATGTATTTGAGAATATATTATATATATATATATATTATGCCTTGTGTTTAGTTCTGATGAGTATATGAGTTGAAATGTTGTTGTTCACTTTCCTTTTTGATGGTTATTGCCGTAATTGATTTATACTAATTTACGGTTGAGCTAATTACAGTTAATAACTTAACTGTAGAACATATATATATATATTGTACAAATGGTACTACTTAATTAAGGAATTATCCATTTTATCTTTTGAATTATGAAACAAAAAATAATTTTTTGGTAGGAAAAGTAAAATCTTGCAACATATTTTTCAGCCATTTGGATTTTTTAAAATTCATAGTTTCATTCGTGTTTGCAGATTAGAAAAAAGTGTCACACTACAAATTGTCAATTTACTGAAATATTGTTTGAACATAAAAGGTTGTAACAAGAATTAAACAGTTGACTTTATCACTATTAATTTTTATTAATATACACCATTGTTTCTTACACTTGTAATAACATGCAGTGAAAAAAAAACGGAGAAATAAGATTTGTGGTAAACTCAGTAATCAGTATTTTTTAAACAAGTTATACAAATGTGTGTTTGACACATAGTAAACAATATAAATTTTAAAAATGTTATAAATGATATGAAGTGGTCTTACTCACAGCAGTTTTAGATTTTGGAACCAAAGTTTTAGAAATGAGTAAGGTGTGAATTTTAAGTAAGTGATAGAGCCATTTTCAACTGAAAACTTTTTCTGTTAAGGATTAATGGAGGAATTAAACTTCTAATAAATGGAAAGTGTGTACTTTATAAAAACATGAATTTACTTATAATATGAAAAGTTCTGACTTTTTTACAGAGGCAAAAGTCAAGAAAGGTATCATTTCAAAACATACATACCTCCACCTATGCGGTCCTTTGCTTGTCATAGGGGGTTTAACTTCTAAAGTTTCTATTCATTTGGATAAGTCCTTCCATTGACCTACTTTGGCAATCTATCAATGGAAATGGACTACATATTGTCAATGGTGTTTGAGGATAGCTTTCAACTCACTTCATCCAACAGTCTCCATAGTATCATGTTTTTTGACATGGATTTTTGAAAGAGGTCTCACTTCTTCTACTGTTCCATTATATAAAGCTTCCTTAGCTACTACTTTTTGATATTCTAAGTATCAGAAGGTTTTTGACTCCCCTGTCAAACCTATGGCCTCCTGTGCATTATATCACCTTTCCCTCAAAGTATATTTTTTATTGTTGTTAGCTTCCAGATGCTGCCATTCTAATTTATTTGCCATTGATGTTCAGTGGACTCTCTGTCATTCCACTTATGTTTTGCTCTATCCTGATCATTTCTCTTGAAAACTCTTGCTGCCAGAGAAAGAAACAAATATTTTTCTCATATTCATTTACCTGGCATTTCTCATCTTTACAGTCTGTCAGACTCGGATCATTTGTTATGTTCTATCAGGGCATTAGATGTCATGTGGCTTGTACGGAACCATTTCGGGCATCTATTGATGTCATTGGCTCCCCAGCTGAACTGTTTTCTGGAGGTCATTTTGCAGGCTGGTATGTGGACTTTTCCTGAGACTTTCATATCTCATTACCTTCATGATCTGGCAGTTTCCTCTTTGGTGGGATTTCATCTTCTCCCTGTGGCTATGTTGACTACTTCTGCTAGATTTTAACAAGGAGGTGAGTAATTTTCTTACCTGACTTAGTTTTTTTTTTTCTTTTTCTTCTAGGGTCCCTCTTTATTTATTTTTTATCCCACTCAGTGGCAAGTGTTACCCAGTCAGGTGTGCTTGTATTTTAAATTCCGCACTAGCAACCTTTATATTGGTTCTTGGTTGCAATGGGCTCTGTTGAGATGAAGTGTTCCATAAGACCATCTGGAATATCAAAATACTATCCAATGGACCGCTACTCATGGACTATCATGAGTAAAGCTAAAGGGGATTTTGCCAGTCCCTTCTGATCTTAGAGATGTATCAGTCAAGATCGGTTTGCTTTTTAAAACTTAGGAAACGTGGTTCACCTGTTGCTCTGTCTCCAGAGGCCTGTTCCTTGGGACTCCCCACCGCACATATCCCCACTATTACTTCTGTTAGTGAAGCTAGGAAGTCCTTACCACACACAGTTCCCAGTTGCTGGGGTGGTGGACAGGGACTTTCCTTCGGAGTGTTGAATTTTCTCCACTCTTGGAGAAGCGGGCAAAGTTGGGGACCCTCCTATCTGGGTCCCTGGAAGTTTTTCCCAGATGTTGGTAGGAGCAGGACCAAACTACGGGGAGCCTACTCGTAAAACTGGTCCAGATTTGATGCTTAGCTATCTAGTGGAGGTGTGCTTGGACCCTCTTATGAACACACCTCTGATGACTGCAACATTACTTAATTTGTGATTCAAATCACTGTCATTTATAAGAACTTGCCTCCCTGAACTTTTCTAATATGGTCACCAAAACCTAAAACAAAAACTGAGAGCCACTATCAACATACCTACTGAGCAGAAAGGTACTTGGGGTTTCCTGTCACCAGCTCCCCATCAGAGAGAATGAAAGTCACTGTCAGGCATGCAGAAATGGTCATTTTCTTAAATCATAACCTGGAAAAATTACCACAATCAGCCATTGAGATACAAGAGAAAGACATAATTGGAAACTTCTATGAAACTGAAGAACTGGGTGAAACGACTGAAGAAATAGATATCTACTTCTGCCAGTCACTTAGTAGAAGAAAGGGAAAGGCTGACAATGCATTTCCAGAGAACATTGTTTAGATTATCGAGAATTAAAAAAAACAAACTCCCAGTAGCCTGATTTATTTGGGTTGTTTTGCAACTTAGGATAACCTTTTTTATATTTTATCATACATTAAAGTATGTATGTTTGTTGTTCATTCATTGATTAGTTTTTTGTATGTTATGTTTCTTTTTTATATCAGTTTAGCTTATACTGTATATGCTGTAGTAGTTAGTGTGTTAATATACATGATTAGTATAAACACATTTAATCTACTCAACAAATGTTTTTTTTATTTAACTAAACACAGATTAGGTAGTTCCATTTTTTTTTTATATTTTAGTACAATTTTGTATACATTTTCTTGTTCATGGATTAAAATAAAAATGTTTATAGTTTCAGCCTGATTTCTGGGTTGCACTGCTTACAGTACTTTATTTGTTTATTTATTTTTGAATAAAGGCTACTTATTTGATCTTTCTGATAAGTAAATATATCTGCACAATAACTATAGATAAAGCATTCTGTATTTGAAACTACAAAGTTCTTTATTGGGTATAAACACTGAAAAAATTCCTGAAGGACCAGCATTTCTTTTTTGTTTACAATCAGCATGCTACCTTCTCTTCTTTACACACTCACTCTCATGCACTCTCGTATTCAAATGTCTGCTTGATACTGAGCTATTCAAGCAAATATATGTGGATAAGGTATTTTCATAAATTAATAATTGATTTCCAAATAGTAAAATGAGAACTAGGTTTGGGTGATTTAAAATCTGACAGGTACCTGAGCTTCAGGGTACCATGCCAGCCTCTAGTTTTAATATTGAGCTCTATACTTGGGATATGCATATTTGGAAAGGACTTCTTATGTGAGAAGATGATTGATGCCATGGAAGCGGAGATGGATTTAGGTGTAACATTTAATAAACACCCAAAATCTGAAGGTTTAGCTGTTATGAAAAAGAGTTAAAAAAAAAGAAGACGAGTTCTTGGTCTATTTGTGAGGATTTTGAGTTTAAGAATAAAAAGGTTATCGCACTTCATATAAGACTGGTGAGGTCTCATTTGGAGCACTGAGTTTGGTTTTGATTTTCTTACTTGAAGAAGGGTATCAGTGTGTTGGGAAGAGTGCACAGAAATTGGCTACTAGATTATTACTAGATTAAGTTGTGTATTCTATGAGGAAAGGCTTAAGAGGTTTAGGTTTCTTTTTTTCTGGAGTGCAAAATTATCCAGGTGGACTTTATTTAGCCATTCAAAGATGTTAGAGGTTTGAATGGTTTATGTATAGTTGTTTAAATGGTGATATGGAAATTTTAACTAGAGTTTTAGGAAAACTTAGATGAAATTCTGTTTTTCAAGTTATTTATAAATTGTGGAATGGCATGATTAGTTGTTGTTAGTGGAAATTCTTTAAGATCTAAAGGGTGTTTTTTTTTTCATTTTTGGTTTAGAAGTGACCTCAGTGAGTTAGTTAGCCATTTCACGTTGCTGTTGTTAATATCATATGTTATTAATCCATGGATCACCACTCATCAGTCAGATATCCTATTATCCACTGTATCTAATTAATATTAAACTTTGAATTTGATTGAATTCCACTGTGGAAAGAAATATGATTATACTTATACAAGTTTCATGTACACTGATGGAGAAAGTCTGTTTTACACAAATGAAATAAAAAATTTTCGTGATGCATGTAAAGAGTAGGAGCTAGTACATGAGTGCTTTTTTTCATCTGAGTTTTCCTAACAGTGATATAAACAGCAACAACCTGTTCCAGATGATCAGAATGTGACTGATGTACTAAATGACTATTTCAGGTGTATTAATATTAACATTTTAAGAATAAGATGAGATTCAGTTTGTAATAAGATCTAAAGGAAGCTTTAATTATCAATTTTCTGAATTTGATTCTTTGATATTGATTTGAGGACTGAAAGTTGGAAATTTGCAAATATAGGTCATAGGTGTATATTTAAGATATCTCTAGTGTATCTAAGCAGATTGCTAGGATGTTATTTGTTTTTAGTAGCGTGGTTTTTTAAAAGAAGCACACGAAAAAATGTTTAAGGAATATCATCATTTTTTCAGCAGAGTCTCTTGCTTCTGTAGTTGGTAAAAAATGTGAGATGCAGCTTTTATAAATTTTCAGCAGACTTGTATTAAATTATTGTTATTTAAAACAATGTGCAGAATTATCTCTGTGGACAGTATTTTTAGAGGTTTCAATTAATCAAGCTTGCAATGAGATCCATAACATTTGGCTACCTCTGTAAATGCCAGGGTTTCAGTCTAATTCCTTTAATATATATATAGAAAAAAAAAGTGTTGTCTTGAAACTCTAAAATTATAATATTTATTTTTTATAAATTTTTGTTGACTTTTCATAAGTTTTAATTTTGTTTTCTATGTGTAAATTCGTTTTTTTTGGGGGGGGGAGGTGAGCACATGTAATTACATTATATTATCCCTAACATAACTTGTAAGGTAAGTGGTTGTTTCTATTGTTAATTACTGCATTATGTGAAAGCAACTTTTTTAATGAACATTTTGTTTTGTGCTAAGTTTCTGTGTTTTTTGATTGATAGAGAATGTTTTTTCCAAAAGGCAGCTGAAATGAAAAAGGTAGTAGCAAGAGGAAATGATAGAAAAAGGAAACGCCAGTCCTCACCACTTGCAGGAACCCCTGTCAATAATAAGGTTATTAAAAGAGCTGGACCCTATCTTTTAGGTAGATTATTATCAATTTTTTATTGAGTCAAATGTAGAAGTATTGGAAGGTCTCTACCTGATGACTAGAAAGGGCTGTAGAACCTTTAATAAGAAACTGACAGACCTAGTGTTGAACTGGACTGTGAAACACACTTAATTCAAAGAATGATCAGAATTAGCTCTATGACAACAACATATTATACAATGCTGGTCAAACAGGTAGTAGTAGTTTTATAGGGTGTTTCTCACACCTCCAAATTCTTTTGGAGGTGAGTATCTAGGAGTAGGACTGGTGTCCTAGTCCGGACACCGGGTGAGCATGTTTCGGTATGATGGGGATTCGAACCCGCGACCTGCAGATTGCGAGTCAAGTGTCCTAACCACCTGGCCATGCCGGGCCGGTCAAACAGGTGATACTTTGTTTGTGAAACAGTTTAATGAGGAGCTTGAAAGTGATAACTTTAATATCAAAGATAGAAAAATGTAAACTTGAAACTTATCTGTACGTTTTTGAACTGTTAAATCAATGATAGTTCAAACTCTTTGAAGTTATTTGATTTTTTTGAATAGGTGAAAATTTGGTTGTTTAGAAGGGTGATGGGGTTAATGGTATTCTTTAAGTGATCAGATTTATATTTGTTCCAATAATGTCAAGCTTTGACAACAGTTCGAACATTTGAGTCTGTAAAATGATTACAATCATGGGAAAATCAGGTTAGGGCTAGAACACTTATGCTTATTAGCTTTCCAACATTTTGCTGGATTCTTGGGTTAAACCATAACTTTTAAAGAGTTGGTGTAGAATGAAAAGCTTATTGGGCATGATTTATCAGAGATAAAAGATAAATTTAAAATGCTATTTTTTTTACATATTTCTGATTTCAAGCTACAATGGCAAAATTAAGAGGAATATGAAACAAACAACCATCTGCAGTTAACTTTTTTTTATAATAATTTTTAAACTTTGTAGTGTAAAATAGTACAAAACAGTGAATAAGATTTTTGTATTGCTCAATGAAATTGGACAAGATATTGAATTCACATTTATAATCTGCTTAAAATTGTTTTCTCAAGGAATAATTTTTTTCTTATTATGATACAACTTACTGTTACTTTTTTAACTACTTTAAATTTTCCAAAGAACTGATGGTCTTAATATATTTGAAGAAATTAATTTAATTGCATCCCTTCTTTAGCCAAGTTACAATTTAAAAGAGAGAGACGATTTTGAATGATTAAAACTGCTGAAGAAAATTCATATGTGAAAATATTACTTGAAACTTGTAGATTTTATTTTTCATAATTATCTCTTGGTGGGACTCGAAACATTTCTTCATTCAGATTTGATAGTGTCCTGACTGTTATTGCAATGAATATATTTTTCTCAGACTGCAGTTTCACACTATTGTAATTTATATATTATACAACACTTAAGTTTGTTAGGGAGTTCCAATGAAGTTTATTTACTGTTTTCTTAATGTTATTTAAAAAAGTTGAAATATCTGAGTTTACACATTCATTTTTAATAAACAATTAAAACTCAGCTAATTCACTTAAAGAAAAAAGTCCTTTTAAATATTCCTAATTATTTGGTGACTTGAGTATATTAAATTCTGTTTTTTTTAAGGGCCAAGACTTGGAAATTCTCCTGTACGTAGCATTGTTCAGTGTTTAGCAAGGAAAGAAAAAACTGATGATTTTTATTCTATCAAGGTAGGTTAGGTGGAAATGTGGAGTCTTCTTACTTTTTAGGTAAATACTTTTATTGCACTGTTTAATTCTGCTACATGTGAATTATTTTTTTAAGCTAATTTTTCAAGATATATTAACTCACTAGCAGTCGATGTGTTCGAAGGAAAACGAAGTTTGATTATAAACAAGATTACGACACTTATGATATACAACATTGTTTATTGAAAAAAAAAGTACTTTGAAAATGTATAAAGACTGATGTAAATTCATTTTATTCTGCTTTAGATACTGAAGATGGAATC